CATATATTGTTGTATGTTTTGATGCAGTTAAATAAGCTCCGTATTTGGTTGCTCTATAAAGACTGTTATTGAATATATCTCAATATATGTACTGGGTGTGTATGATTAAGATAGGATATATCCTTCCTACATAATAGAAAATATATCACAGCCCACTTGATTGAGTGAGACTAGAAACTCATAGCCATGCTCGAATAAGTTGATATGAGATATCACAAACTATTCGTTAATTAAAGTCTACTCTAGATATCAAGAAACAATAGATGGACTATACAAGTGTGATTATTCCAAGACTTGTGCCTATTCTAGATATAAAGGACATAAGGATGTAATACATAAAAGAGTTAATCACCAAGATGATATGTCGAATCATATTTTCTTGTAACTTATGTGACAATGATTTATTGCTAGATGTCACTCATTGTATGTAATATTAGAATTGTTCTAATAATTACTGCTAACATTATAAGAACCTACAGGGCCACACCTTAGGATTGAAACGAGCAAAGATGTACAATTGTTGTACGTTACTGAAATATATCTAGAGTTAATATATATGTATGTTTGATATATATATGTTTTAATAATTCCGAATATTTAATTCCAATTAATTAAATAAAGATTTAATTAATTTAAAATAATAAAAATCCCTAATATGATTAGAGTAACTCAGATATAAAAGGATGTGTTAGGTCTAGAAGCCGTTTAGAACACACAAAATCTTCAGGCATTTTTCTCAAAAACAGTTTTGGGGAAAACAAATATTGCCCTCAATCGGGTGAACTGAGTAGAGGCAGAGACGTGATTTCGTGGAGACTTACGATTCGAACCGATCGACGCCGTTGTTGTCTTTGTTGTTTTTCAAGGAACCCGCTATAAGTATTCTCATCCCTTCCTCCCGATTTCAGTTTTACGTACTTGGATCGCTTGTGAGACCATCGAGTTTTGTTTCTGCTGCACCGTGGGTTGCGCCGACGGTCCTAACACCTAAAATTTGAAAGCTCGACTCAAACTCGAAACCATGAACTGAAGTTTGTAAAAGCTTGAAAAGACTTGAAATGAAAAATAATCTTAAACTTAACTCGATTGAAGCCTCAAACTTAACTCGATTGAAGCCTCAAACTTAACTTTGAACTTGAACCTTAAATACATGAAAACCATATACAATATTTTTAAAAAAATAACACATAAATATTAATAATATTAATAATTTTTTAAAAAATCTTAATATATTATATTTTGAGTTGTTCACGAACATTTCGAGTCGAGTATCAAGTCGTCGGCTAGCTAAAAACTCGAGTCGAGCTCGAGTCAAGCATTTATCAAGCTTTGACAGAGTTGATCTCGATTAGCTCATGATCTGTCTTATCTCATTCACAGCCTTAGTTCTATACCCATTAGAGCAAAAGTTCCATTTCACCCTCCTATAGGTAGATTTAAAAAAAAATTATGTTTAACAAATTCTTAAGCAGTTGGTCGTTAATATTCATTATTTATTTTATTATATCTTATCTTTATTTTTTAATTTTTAATGACTCTATCTTTATGGTATGTTTTTTCCGTTTAGCCATTATTTTCCTTTATTCTTTTTATAGAGTTGAATTTAACATCACAACAAATGATCAAGATGATTATTTGTTATCATGTTGATCCTTCATACTTTGGACATTCGAATTAGATTTGGATATATGATTTTCATTTTTGGTTGGTTTTCTCATGTCGCTCGACTTTGATTAGCAGTTTATTTGTGGTCTTTTAATAGCTTGATCTTTTTTTTAGTTCGTTTGTTGATGTAGTCAGATATGTTCGTATCCACATTTTGTTTGAGTTTATGTGATCTTTAGGGTTTGTTTGTTTGTCGTAAAATGAATTACAGAATTGGTTTTCCCCGAAATCTCGTGTTTGTTTCATGTAATTCATTTTCCGGAAAATGTTTTCCCGTGTTTGTTTCACGTAATTCGTTTCCCGAAAAATGTTTTTCTAGAGTTTTATTGGAGGAAATTTGGTTGGTCAACGTAAAATATTTTCCTGGTCAACAAAATTTCCTTTGTGTTTTCTGGAAAATGACTTACGGTCTGATTTTCCGAAGTCATTTTTCAAACTTTTCACTTCAAAGAATAAATACTCAAAATAATTTTATTTTATGAATTTAATATTAATAAAATATTTTAAAATATTAATTATTAAAATATTTAAAATATATTTATTAATATTTCTAATGATATAATATAATATTTTTAATATTATACTAAAATAAACAATTATATTATAATAATCAATTATATTATATTTTTATTTTAATAATATATAATAAATTATTTATATATTTAATAATGAATAATATTATTTATATATTTAATATTAATATAATAATCTATTAATATTTTAATAAAGATATTTAAAATATACTAATTAATATTTTTTAAAATATAATATAAAACTATTACTTTAATAAATAATTAATATAATTTATAATATATTTATTTGAATAAAATATACCAATATTAATATTTTTATTAATAAAATTATAAAAATAATATTTAATAATAAATAAATTATTTTAATATTTTAAAAATAAGAATATTAAGTTTTATGATAAATAATATTATTTATTGTATTTAATATTTGTAATAAATAATTTTTAAAAAACTCATCAACTAGTGGAAAAAAGGTTTAAACAACTTCCAAACATTGTAAAACATTTTCCAGATATTTTTCAAAAAAATGTAATTCATTTTATGGAAAACATTTTTCGAAAAACGTTTTCCAGAAATGTAATTCATTTTTCAAAATTCAAATTCCAGTAATTCATTTTCCAGAATTCAATTTCCAGAAAACTAATTACAGCCAAACAAACATACTCTTAATTCGAGATTCAAAACAAAAAAGATTAATACGATAATAAATAAGTCACATCTTGATCAATTGTGTTAATTATTAAATCTAATCCTTAAAAAAACAAAATAATGATTGTAAATATACTATAAAAGCAGATAATAATGTGTCATAGAACATCATATTAAAAACTAAAAAGATAAGAAAAAATGTACTACAACGACATGATATTAAAAACTAAAAACTAAATATATGATATAATAAAATAAAAAATATTAACAACAATATAAACAATCTCATAATTATACTTGAATAGAATATACCTTACCGTCTAGGATATTTATGTTGTACGTAAGCTTAATATAAGACTAAGGAATTATACTATCGGAAATATTACTATTTTTTTAATATTTTTAGTAGAGCGTTACTTAAAATATTTTTTTTACAGAAAATGTTAATTTTATTACCTAAAATAAATATTTTTGATATTAACATTTATAGTAAAAAAATAACATTTTAAGTAACACCCGATATTAATATTTTCGATAAAAAATATTTTAAATATAACTCAACCAAAAATATTAAAAAAATATTAACATTTCCGATGATACATTATATTAGTCTTATATGAGGTTATCTTTCCTTATACATCTAATGCCGTCTACCGCTACATTAATTCAAATTATCCAGTGGACATACAATTATGACCTGCCAAGTTATGTGGGTAAATTACAATTTAAATCATTATTAATTTTAAAATCAATAAAATAATTTTTATCTTAAATTTTTACAGTTAAATTATATACGTTAAATCCTTATTAATTTTTATCTTCAATTATATACGTTAAAGTTATATTATACTTATCGTACTTTGAGTCCCTCCTAATTTTAAAATTAATTAAATTAATTTATCGAGTGGTTAAATTATATTCAAGTACATATATATTATATCTTTAAGAAAAATATTGAGATTCGAGCATATACAAAATGGGATAATATGAACATTTTTAACCTCTTAATTAATTAATGAATCTCTTAGTGATTAAATTGTTAACCTTAAACCTTTAATATTGGGTTCAGGGTAAACTACACATTTGGTACTTAAAATATCAGTTTTAGTAACTAAAATTTTAATTTTTTCAAAACCATATCTAACATTTAGGTTTCATTTCATTTTAGTACCCGCCGTTAAAAACTTAGCACGTTTAGTATCTAATTTATTAGTTTTGGTCCGTTTTAGTACCTAAACTTTTATTTTTTTTATTTCTTTCAAAATTTAACGTCATATTTTTAATGAGGTATTGAAATTAAACAAAAACCGAAGTTTTAACAATGGAGTATTAAAATAAAACAAAAATTAAACTTTAGGCATAATTTTAAAAAATATTGAAATTCGAACGTATACAAAATGGGATAATATGAACATTTTTAACCTCTTAATTAATTAATTAATCTCTTAGTGATTAAATTGTCAACCTTAAACCTTTAATATTGGGTTCAGGGTAAACTACACATTTGTTACCTAAAATATCAGTTTTAGTATCTAAAATTTCAAATTTTTTTCAAAATCATACCTAACATTTAGGTTTCATTTTATTTTTGTACCCGCCGTTAAAAACTTAGCACGTTTAGTACCTAATTTATTAGTTTTGATCCGTTTTAGTACCTAAACTTTAATTTTTGTTATTTCTTTCAAAATTTAACGTCATATTTTTAATGAGGTATTGAAATTAAACAAAAATCGAAGTTTTTAACAATGGGGTATTAAAATAAAACAAAAATTAAACTTTAGGCATAATTTTAAAAAATATTAAAAATTTAGATAGTGAAACAGATCAATTAAACTTTAGGCATAATTTTAAAAAATATTAAAAATTTAGATAGTAAAACAGATCAAACCTGATAATTTAGATAATAAACGAATTATTTACACCTATGTTTATTAACATAATATTTTATCACATTATCAAAATTTAAATTAATTATTATAAAATTGATTATTCAATTAAATAGTAATGATGAATTTAGAATTTCAGACGTTGAGTTACATGAAATCGGATTAATAAGAATTCAAACATTTTTCCCAGTAGAGCTCATATAATTTAGGAAACATACTGAGATTTTAAAGATGAACGAAGCATCTAAGAAACCCATCCTCACATTAAGATTACGCGAAAGCCCAGATGATTTGATGATGGAGGAGGAAAACAAAGATTCAAATTGGAAGAACAAAACGAAATTTCTGTGTCTACCCACAGCATTACGCATTTTAATTACTGGTTTTCAATCTGAGTAGGGAAGGAGGTTTAAGAAGCGGACGAACCTCCGTCTTGAAGAGGAGAAAACAAAACTTGTCCACCGAGAAGTACAAAAACCCGCCGCCGCCGTGCGTCACGAACGACCCAAAACTCTTCCCCACGACGCAGTGCCACGCCGGTCCGTACAGCGCATCGAATTCCTAAACACAGAAAACGGAAAGCTTCCTTCAAAATCTCCAACTCGGAAACCACTCTCAAAAAAAAATTGAGGTTACCTTCTTAAGGCACATGGCGAGGCGCGTGGGATTGGGAGTGGATCGTTTGGCATTATCCGGTTTTTTGGCGTCGAGTAGAGCTCTAGCTCTCCTTATAGCTCGCTCTTGCATCGCGAGAGGCATGTCGGCGGATCTCAGCCGCACGTTCAAATCGACGGCGATCGCGGCCAGTTTGAGTTCGTTCGGAGGCGGAGGAGCTCTGGCGAGCGGTGGCAGAGACGAAGAGCGCTGGAGCGTGTACTGTGAGGTTATTTTGGGGTTTTCGTCTTCGTTTCTTCTTCTTCTTCCATTATATGAACGTTGTCTCTCCATTCACTGAAACTAGTTGGTGTGGGAAGTTGGTAGCAGGAAAAAGGTTTTTTCAACTTTGAACTTTGACTGCTTTATTAATTTGACTCAGAAAGAGTGAAATCAAGGTAAAATTATGATTTAGGTCCCTTCATTATCAGATTTATTTCTTATACTTTGTTGAATCTCTCGAATATTAAAAGTTATAAAATTGTCACCCGACTATTCATATGTTCCAAACACGTCCCTTTCGTTAAAAAATTGACGGTCGTTTGAGTTAAACGTTAATATGCTGACTGAGATATGATAATTTATTGAGATTTTTGAAGGTTGATTTTCATCTTAATATTGAAATTCCAATTATGTTAATTTATTTTACTTTTATTAATAATGAATTTAAATATAAAAATTATTATATATTTTATTTTTTAAAAAAAAATTAACTTACGAAATACAAATATTTATTGGATTTAAATATCTAACTGATAAATTGCTTAGTTTAGATATAATAGTAATATTCAAATTTAACAAAGATAATGAATTGATTCACATTTTAAAATATTAACAGGGACTAGTGTTCTAAAAGTTTGTGTAAATTACACGTTTAATACTTAAACTATCAGTTTTGATATATTTCAGTTTTTTTAAATCATACCCAAAGTTTAGTTTTTATTTCATTTTAGTATCTGTCGTTAAAAACATTAGTTTTTGTTTCATTTTAGTATACCTTCAAAATTTAACATTAAGTTTTGAAAAGATTGAAAGTTTAGGTACTAAAATGTATCAAAATTGATAGTTTAGGTACAAAACGCATTAAGTTTTTAACAATGGGGTACTGAAATGAAATAAAAACTAAATATTAGGCATAGTTTTGAAAAAGATAAAAGTTTAGGTACAAAAACAGATTAAAATTGATAATTTGAGAATTAAATGCATAATTTACCCCAAAAGTTTCAGACTTTTGGCACTTTGAGCAAGCAAGACAGACAATTATTGTATCAATTATTTTTCTCTTGGGGCCCTTCTCTTTTATGATTATCAAGTTCGGGTCTGTAAGATTTTTCTAAATTATTTACGAATTTAATTTAATTTAATTCAATTCGATATTTAATTTATTCAGCTTTTTACTTACCTCTATTACTATATGATGACCTTGTTGGATATTCTGCATCATTTAAATGAGTTGTAAGAAAAATTATGTTCGATAAGTAGGGTTGGACTCAAGATTTTATATTATTGTAAATTTAACAAATTAATAAGAAAGTTAGGTAAATTACATATTTAGTATCTAAACTATCAGTTTTTATCCGTTTTAGTACCTAATATTTTTTTCCAAAACAATATCTAAAGTTTAGTTTTTTTTTTTTCATTTTAGTACCTCGCCGTTAAAAATTTTAGTTTATGTTTCATTTTTGTACCCGTTTAAAATTTAACATTAAGTTTTGAAAAGACTAAAAGTTAGGTACTAAAACGGATTAAAACTTATAGTTTAAGTACATAACGCGTTAAGTTTTTAATAACAGGGTAGTAAAATGAAATGAAAACTAAATGTTAGATATGATTTAAAAATATGAAAGTTTAGATATTAAAATGAACTAAAATTAATAATTTAGGTACTAAATACTAAATTTACCCTAAAATTTTAAATATGCGAAATTATATAAGGTTGGAGAATATGAGATAAGATCGTAAGAATTTAAAATTTTTAAAAGTACGATCGTACCCTTAACATCACTTCAGTTCATCCCGGTCTACGAGGGCCAGTTTCGGTACCAACCGGCCCATGCAGAGACCAAGCCACTGACACCAAGAGACAGAGGGTGGTTGCACAAAGGGTTGGGCTCGATCTCCGCCAGTGCAATTATCAAATCGGCGACATTCGCCGCCACAGCCATCACCCTCATCACTCTATCCCCTCTGATCTTCCTTATCATCTCTTTTGTCTCCTTCGAACCCTCTTGTTTCAAAGCCATCACGAGCTGTTGGATCATAAACTTGATCCATTATGGGAGCCTAAACCCAAACCCAAACTAAATTGATGTCATTACCTACATCATTTAATTAAAGATGTCATTGCTTACATCATTTAATTAATGATGTCATTGCTTACATCAATTTAGTTAGGTGAGAGTTAGATATTTGTTGAATTTGTAATGGTTTAAATTAGTTTATTTGTGTGGTGTAGGATTGTTCTTGAGTAGTATAAATACACCTTCCCATTTTAGTTTTAAGCATCAAGAAAAATTAAGAGCTTCTAAGTGAGTGAAGAAGCAAAGTCTTATAAGAGTGAGTTGTAGTTCTTGTTTTCGAGTGAGAGTACTCTTGTAATATTTGTTTGAGTTTCAATAAAAGTTGTTTGTGTGAGCGTTTTATTTCCAACAAAGTGGCATCAGAGCGAGTTGGAAAGATCGAAGGTCTCGACGAGAGGAATACGCCGCCGCCAGAATTTTCTCAATCTGAGTTCTGACGCACCGCCACGCACCGCCGGAAGACTGCTGCCAGAAAATCGAGTTGACTCACCGAGTTGAGTCGATTCAGCCGAGTTGGAGCCCTTGACCGAGGTGTCCAAGTCCCTCCAAAGTTTTTTTTTTCATCGTTCCGGATTCATCCGTGCAATCGGATTTACAAAATCTCATTATATTGAGAGATATGGCAAATGGTATGGCACCATTCCAAGTTCCGACACTCAACAACAACAACTACGACAATTGGAGTATCAAAATGAAGGCACTTCTTGGATCACAAGATGTGTGGGATATCATAGAGAAAGGCTATAATGAGCCTGCGGATGATGATGTTTTTGTTACTCTTACACCAGATCAAAAGACAACTTTGAAGGATTCAAGAAAGAGAGACAAGAAGGCTCTCTACCTCATCTATCAAGCATTAGATGATGATGGTTTTGAAAAGATTTCAAGTGCAAGCTCTAGCAAGGAAGCGTGGGAGAAGCTGCAAACCTCTTACAAAGGATCCGAGCAAGTGAAGAAGGTTCGTCTCCAAACATTAAGAGGTGAATTCGAATCCTTAAACATGAAAGCATCTGAGTCTATTTCAGATTATTTCTCAAGAGTAGTAGCTGTTTCTAATCAATTAAAAAGAAATGGTGAAAAGTTAGACGATGTGAGGATAATAGAGAAGATACTCCGTTCGTTGGATCCCAAATTTGAGCACATCGTCGTGACGATTGAAGAAACTAAAGACTTGGAAGAAATGAAGATCGAACAGCTCCAAGGATCATTGCAAGCATACGAAGAGAAGCATAAAAAGAAGCATGAGTTTACTGAGCAACTCCTCAAGCTGCAACTCAAGGATATGCATGAGAGCCAACGCAATGATAGAAACCAACGTGGCCAAGGCAGAGGTAGAGGCCATGGACGAGGTGGAAGTCGAGGTCGTGGACGAGGCTGGAATTACAACAATAACAATTCCAACAACAACTATGAGAAAGGAGAAAGCTCAACACGAGGCCGTGGAAGAATTAATCCAAACTCAAAGTATGACAAATCTCAAATTCGATGTTATAATTGTCAAAAATTTGGGCATTATGCTTCAGAATGTAGAGCTCCCAACAACAAAATTGAGGAGAAGGCCAATTACGTGGAGGAAAAGACAGATGGCAAAGAAACTCTTCTTCTAGCACGAAAGGAAACTGATGGTGGCCAAGCAAATTCCTGGTATCTTGACAGTGGTGCAAGCAATCACATGTGTGGAAGGAAAGACATGTTTGTGGAGCTAGACGAGTCAGTAAGTGGAAATGTTTCGTTTGGAGATGATTCCACAATAGCAGTGAAAGGGAGAGGTAACATTCTTATCCGTTTGAAAGATGGGAGACATCAATTTATTTCAAATGTCTACTATGTGCCCAATATGAAAAGTAACATTTTAAGTTTAGGGCAACTGGTAGAGAAAGGTTATGATATTCATATGAATAATTATAATCTTTCTATAAAAGATGATAAGAATAACTTCATTGCTAAAGTGCCGATGTCAAAGAATAGAATGTTCTTGATCAACATACAAAATGATGTTGCAAAGTGCCTGAAAGCTTGCTACAAAGATGCATCATGGCTTTGGCATCTTCGATTTGGGCATCTCAATTTTGGAGGTCTAGAGCTATTATCTAAGAAGGAGATGGTGAAAGGACTACCTCACATCAACCATCCTGACCAAATCTGTGAAGGGTGTCTAGTCGGGAAACAATTCAGGAAAAGCTTTCCAAAGGAGTCAGAGACAAGAGCTAAGAAGCCACTTGAGCTCATCCATACCGATGTGTGTGGACCGATCAAGCCAAGTTCTCTCGGTAACATAACTATTTTCTTCTCTTCATTGATGATTTTTCAAGAAAAACCTGGGTATATTTCTTGAAACAGAAGTCAGAAGTTTTGAAGTATTCAAGAAGTTCAAAGCAGCAGTGGAGAGAGAAAGCGGTAGAAAGATCAAAGCCATGAGATCCGATCGAGGTGGAGAATTTACTTCTAGGGAGTTTCAAGAGTTCTGTGAAGCAAATGGAATTCGTCGACCAATGACAGTTCCTAGATCCCCCCAGCAAAATGGTGTGGCAGAAAGAAAGAATAGAACAATCCTCGACATGGCACGAAGCATGCTCAAAAGCAAGAAACTACCCAAAGAATTTTGGGCGGAAGCAGTATCGTGTGCAGTCTACTTGTCAAATCGATCTCCAACAAGAAATGTATGGGGAAAGACACCGCAAGAGGCATGGAGTGGAAGAAAGCCTGGCATTTCCCACTTGAGAACCTTTGGAAGTATAGCCCATGTTCACGTACCAGACGAGAGAAGAACGAAGCTTGATGATAAAAGCGAGAGTTTTATCTTCATCGGCTATGATGCTAATTCGAAGGGCTACAAGTTGTACAATCCAGACAATAAGAAGTTTGTGATTAGTCGAGATGTGGTCTTCAACGAAGAAGGAGAATGGGATTTTAACTCCCATACAGATGACTTCAATTTCTTTCCTCAGTTTGAAGAAGATGAGCAGACAATGAGGGAGCAACTAGATGAATCTCAACAAGAGCTTGCAACTCCACCACTTCACCAACATCAACCACTCAAGGAGACTCATCACCTTCATCATCGTCAAGTAGGAGTCAAAGTGAAAGAGTTGTGCAACGCACAAGAAGCCTTAGAGATCTCTATGAGGTAACTGAACGACAAGATAATCTTACATTATTTTGTTTGTTTGCCGATTGTGAACCAGTGAGCTTTCAAGAAGCGGTATAAGAAAAGAAATGGAGAGATGCGATGGACGAAGAAATCAAAGCCATCGAGAAGAATGACACATGGGAACTTACCTCACTTCCCAAGGGACATAAGGCGATAGGTGTCAAATGGGTGTACAAAACAAAGCAAAATGCCAAAGGAGAGATTGAAAGGCACAAGGCGAGGCTAGTTGCTAAAGGCTATAGTCAAAAGGCTGGAATTGACTATGATGAGGTATTTGCTCCTGTTGCTCGATTGGAGACTATCAGACTAATCATTTCTTTGGCAGCTCAAAACAAGTGGAAGATACAACAGATGGATGTAAAGTCCGCCTTCCTAAATGGAGTTCTTGAAGAGGAACTTTACATTCAGCAACCATCAGGCTATGAAGTCAAGGGCATGAAGACAAGGTGTTGAAGTTGAATAAGGCTCTTTACGGGCTAAAACAAGCACAAGGGCATGGAATAGCCGAATCGACAAGTACTTCCAAGAGAATGGCTTCAACAAATGTCCCTACGAGCATGCTCTATATATCAAGATCAAAGATGAAGATATTTTGATCGTGTGCCTCTACGTGGACGATTTGATCTTCACTGGAAGCAACCCAAGCATGTTTAATGAATTCAAGGATGTGATGATGAAAGAATTCGAGATGACAGACATGGGGCTCATGGCGTACTACCTTGGCATTGAAGTTAAGCAACAAAATGATGGAATTTTCATTTCACAGGAAAGCTATGCAAAGGAGATACTGAAGAAGTTCAAGATGGAGAACTGTAAGCCAATAAGCACACCGGCAGAATACGGGATCAAGATGACCAAACATGAAGAAGGCGAAAGTGTAGATCCAACATTCTTCAAAATTTTGGTAGGAAGTCTACGCTATATAACTTGCACGAGACCCGATATTCTTCACGCAGTTGGATTGGTTAGTCGCTACATGGAATCCCCAACAACCACCCATTTTAAAGCCGCAAAGAGAATTCTTCGCTATCTGAAAGGTACCATTGACTTTGGCTTGTTCTATTCAGTTTCTAATGATTACAAGCTTGTTGGATATAGCGACAGTGATTGGGGTGGAGACATAGATAATCGAAGGAGCACTACTGGATTCGTATTTTTCATGGGAGATATTGCATTCACATGGATGTCAAAGAAACAACCGATTGTCACATTATCCACTTGTGAAGCGGAATATGTTGCTGCTACCTCATGTGTTGTCATGCAATTTGGCTTAGAAATCTATTGAAGGAGATTGGTTTGATACAAGAAGAGCCTACCAAGGTTTGTGTCGACAACAAGTCAGCCATTGCCTTAGCAAAGAATCCAGTATTCCATGATCGAAGCAAGCACATTGATATTCGCTACCACTATATAAGGGAGTGTGTTGCAAGAAAAGATGTGGAAGTTGAATATGTGAAGTCACAAGATCAAGTTGCTGATATTTTTACCAAGCCACTGACCAGCGAAGACTTCTTAAGATTAAGGAACCTACTAGGGGTCACGAGATCAAGTTTAAGGGAGGGTGTTGGATCATAAACTTGATCCATTATGGGAGCCTAAACCCAAACCCAAACTAAATTGATGTCATTACCTACATCATTTAATTAAAGATGTCATTGCTTACATCATTTAATTAATGATGTCATTGCTTACATCAATTTAGTTAGGTGAGAGTTAGATATTTTGTTGAATTTGTAATGGTTTAAATTAGTTTATTTGTGTGGTGTAGGATTGTTCTTGAGTAGTATAAATACACCTTCCCATTTTAGTTTTAAGCATCAAGAAAAATTAAGAGCTTCTAAGTGAGTGAAGAAGCAAAGTCTTATAAGAGTGAGTTGTAGTTCTTGTTTTCGAGTGAGAGTACTCTTGTAATATTTGTTTGAGTTTCAATAAAAGTTGTTTGTGTGAGCGTTTTATTTCCAACACGAGCTCCCTCTCCGCCTGCACCCCTTGTTTCATCATAATCAAATCCCAAACGATGAAGAAAACGTACCCAAAGGCCTCGCCAAAGGCGGAGACGAAGCTCATCCGCTTAGCCAGCTTAGCATCGAGCGTCCCGATCCTCGCCAGCCAAAGGAGGTGGTCGAAGAAGAAATAGACCATCTCGCCGGAGTTAGCCAGCACGGCTAGGAGCTTGAAACCCGGGGTCGAACCGGGGTTCCTTCTGAGGGCGTTGAAACCCGTGAGGAACCTGCCGGTTCTGAAGGCTTTTCGGCTGAGACCGGTGGCTACCTCCCATTGCTTGAACCGGGTGGCCAGGTCCGGGTGAGTGGCTTCCACTTGCCAGTTGACGAGCTTGGAGACGTATTGGAAGGTCTTCACCAGCTTGTCGATGCCGTCTCGCTTCGCCAGAAAGACGACGAGCTTGTCGACAGTGTCGTTCATTTTTTGTTCGAGTCAGGGACGGACGCAGGATTTGGGCGATGAACTCGGTGAAGGGCTCATTGTTTTGGGTAAATTAAAGAGGGGTGAGAGCCACATGATTTTGGTTTGTGGTCAAGCTCCTACATCCAATAGTCTTTTTTTTTGGGTTATGTCTTATTATATGGATAGCACTTTCTTGTTCATACATTAATGCATATATTATGGACCATATATATATGATAAGAAACTTTCTTTCTAGACATAAGGTTTGAAAGTGAAGATTGTAAATAGAGTAAATTAAGTTGTGAGGATTGACACTGCCTCTGTAGTACTCTATCTAATCAACCGATCAATAAATCGTGATACTGATAGTTATAAAAAAAATGTTTACTCTCGTCTTCCACAAGATCCAGCAGATAACTACAAATCATACTATATCCCAGTCCTCACCGTTTTCTTGCAAAAAGGGGAAAAAAACTAAGGTTGGATAGATTAGTGATAGATAAGCCAGTCAAAAAGATTCATGGTGAGGAACTCATAAGTATTGTGTAGACCAATCAGATTAACCCAAGTGGAGAAATATGGAAGCAAGAGAGTAAGGTGGTGTTTGACTTTACAGAGATAAAAGGTCTGCAGTATGCGGACAACATCTGCATGCATCTGCAACAGAAGAGATGGACCAAAAGTTTGCAGTCTACAAGAAGAAGACTGTTTGTTTTCTAACGTCTGCAGACTGCTAAAATAAACTGAAATATAAATAAACTGATTTTTTAAACTTAAAAGAGTTTTGTAATGCTGAAATTTAAATAATTTTAGTTTTACAATACTGAAATTTAAATAATCCATACAACTACAATAATAATTTTTTTTAAAATAAATCAATCCATACTGAATAAATTATTTAATAAATAACCTTATTAAATTAATGTCTGCAGACTGCTAAAATAAACTAAAATATAAATAAACTGATTTTTTAAATTTAAAAGAGTTTTGCAATACTGAGATTTAAATAATTTTAGTTTTACAATACTGAAATTTAAATAATAATAAATATTTTAAAATAAATCAATCCATATTTAAAAATAAATCAATCCATATTTTAAAATAAATTTTAAAAGAGTTTTGCAATACTGAGATTTAAATAATTTTAGTTTTACAATACTGAAATTTAAATAATTTTAGTTTTACAATACTGAAATTTAAATAATCCATACAACTACAATAATAATTTTTTTTAAATAAATCAATCCATATTTTAAAATAAATCAATACATATTTTAAAATTTATTTTAAAATAGATTTAAATAATTTTAATGTTCTTTGAAGAGGTTAGAAGAGCTTTGAAGACATAAATCCACGTCTGCGCAAAGAAGAGGACGCACAGACGTTAGAAGAGCTTATGTCTTCTAAAAAACAAACGGTCTGCGAAGCCCAATATCTACGCGTGGTCTGCGCGGCGCAGACATAAGAGCTTTGAAGACATTTAACAGTGAAAACAAACACCACCTAAGACATATGACACATCTTCCTTGTGCGTAGTCCTGTACACAAACCAAACGAACATGAACGAGGTATGTTCATATTTGTTCGTTTAACTTTAACATAATAAATGAATGAACACGAACAATTAAACAAATGTAATTTCTTGCTCATGTTCATTCATTAAGGAATGTAGCTTATTCGTATTTGTTCGTTAAAGTGTTCGTTCATGTTTATTCGTTAATATAATAAACAAACACAAACGAAAGGACGTAAACTAACACGAGTGAACAAACTTAAACGAACGAACATTAAATTAATTGGGTTTATATTTGAGAAGAGTTTTCTATTTCCAAATAGTTTTTGGGTTTATACTTTCTTTAATTGATTTGAGTATTTTTTTATTTGAGTTTAAAATTAATTGAATTTTAAAATATTAATGAGTTTAAAGATAAATTTTATTATGACATAATATTTTAAACAAGTTTGGAGATTGAGCTAAACATAAACGAATGAACGAACACAAATGAAATAAACGAACATAAATAAACAAACATAAACAAATGTATTATCGAACGTTCACGAACACAAATAAACAAACGAGATATTTGCTCGTGTTCGTTCATTTAATGAAACGAATATAAAGTGTAACACCCTATACCCGTACGACACACAGTTGACCGTCACCGATATAGGATACCACACAGAACCACCATTTCCACAAATAAAACATCCATGAAATAATATAATTTAAAACTTTATACTGGGGAGCTCCAAAAATAAATATTTACAATCAAAATATTACAGACCAACTCTTAATAAAATTTAGACTCAATTGATACAACATGGTTTATAAAATATACATGCCCTTCAAAAACTGCTGAGACGTACTCTGAATTTGTACTGGCTCTGGACCTTGATCTATCTATTGCTCCTCGAACTCTCGATCTACTGACCTGCCCACGGAAAACAATCCGAAGGCTGAGCTAACTAGTTCAACGCCACACTAACAACTAAAACATACTAAAATTTCATCACTGAAATGCTCAAACTATCAAGTCTACTGCTATATGATCTAATGCTATCAGGTCTACTATTATATGGTCTACTATTATCTATTATACTATTATCTGGTCTATTATTATCTATTATAATATTATCTGGTCTACTATTATCTGTTCTACTGTTATCTGATCTATTATTATTTGTTCTACTATTATCTGGTATACTGTTACCAGGTCTACTGTTATTTGTTATGATATGCTTTAGTGAGTATACTCGTATAATTACTCTCGACTCTATGTTAAACATCATGGTGTGGCTGAGGGTTCTGCATCTCGGAGCTCACACACCCCTCTAGTTTACTAAGAATGTGGCCCCCAAAATCTCTGCATCACCACACACTCGACTAGCCCACGCCATGAACATACCACACTAAGCTTCATAACTTATTCTCAAGCTAGAACTCAGTTTTAATGATCACTAGGAGTATGAAAGGGTTGATAGTGTGTTAATTGGCATCCTTGGTTGCTAAAACTCCTCTTAATTCAACTAGGAGTCACCCTACCTTCAAGAAAAATCCATTTTGAAAACTAATTCTAAAACTCACAAAATGGAGCTTAAAATCAAGCCTGAAAGATGAAGAGAATCATTCTCACCTTAGCTTAGCTACCCCACACTTAGAACTCTTAATATCTCAACTTGGAAGGAAGAAGAAAGAAATAATTATGGAAGAAAGAAGAGAAGTGTTTGGTGAGGAGGTAATATAGGTGATTCACGTATAAGATATAATAAATAATGGGTTTTCAACTTTTATTTTTAAACTATGGGCAAACTACATTATTAGTCCCCCAACTTCTAAATTATAAAACTCTGATCACTTATCCACAATTCTCTTGGGCCTCAACTCAAGCCCACTAACACTAAACTTGGTCTAACAAATTTATAAAGTCTTTTGGGCTCAACTTTGCGTCTCGGGTTGACCTGAACTACTAACTCGAGATTCAGAGTGTTACATAGAACCTTGTTTATGCTCGTTCATTTAATAAATAAACGAACATAATCGAACTTTCCACCAAACTATTCACAAACGGTTCGCTGAATGTTCAGTTCGTTTACATGCCTACTCATGCAATAAACACCTTTAGAGATGGACTAAGGGAGAATAGAGGGCATAGTCGCTCTTTTAAAATTTTTGAATTCTCTTATATTTTAGGATTTTTTATTTTTTTATTTGTAATTCATTTTTGCCCTCTAAAGTGTCTAAACTATATCGATATCATTAATTTTAGTCAGTGACAAATACGAAAATATTTTCTAGGATGGACACACTTATATTAATTATTGAAAATTTTCGTATGGAGTTGACATGAATAAAATTTATGTGTGGGCACTAATGGTAAAATGGACAATTAATATAAATAAATTCAGATTCCAAGATTGACAGATGCCCCACCCTGAACATGTTTTGCATCCGCCACTAATTTTAGTTCCAATACACATATTTTGATCTATAAAATATAAATCTAATAAAAGACGTACTTATAGATAATTTAAGGGTAAACTACACGGGTGATTCCTTATGTTTTTATCTGTCTGATTTTGGTCACTGATTCAAGAAAAGAGCAGTTTTGGTGTCTTACGTTTTTAGTTCGATCGATTTTAGTCTCTCAATCATTAAATCCCGTTAGATCATTAACGAGAGTCTAAACTGATAATTAAAAAGTAAATAAAAACTTCATGTCTTCTTCTTCCTTTATTGTAACGAGAACACTTATATAATATACACACAATTTAAATCATTAAAATATAAGAAACATAATATGGAATTATGAATTATCAACTTATTGAGACATGGATTCTTTTGATCTTCTAGATCATTATAAATTAGGTAATTTTTGAATTTAAATTAAAAATACCATAATTATGTTGGACCAAAATTTTAATATGGAAAAGAAATTGGTATGTTAATTATCTAATGCAAAGTTGTGTAAGGTAAAGAATATATTGCTATCAAACAATTCATCTTTGTTCCCTAATATTTTTTTAGGTCATGGATTCTAGATTTATTGAAAATATTCTTTTTCTTTTTCTTAGAATATTTTTTCAAGTAGAATTAAGATTAAATTTAAAATTTATTAAAAAAAGGTAAACTACACCATATATCACCGAACTTTAAGAGTTGACTTGTTTATACCATCAAACTTTCAGTTTTGTCAATTTTAGCACTAACGTTTAATTTCAAGTGCAATTATGTCACTCCGCCGTTAATGATCTAACCAGATCATGACATGACAATCGTGCACCACGACGTTGCTGATGTGGTTGCCTCACCAAAATGATGTCGTTTTCGACATGACCGTGTTTGATGCTAAAAACCCCAAATGACATAGTTTTGTTTAAGAAAATTTGGTAAAATATTGCATTTGAACTGAAAACCTTTGAAAACAAATACTAAAGCTTAACCGTAATATAAATAACATGAGTCAAGCATTCCAGATATTATTTTCTAAAAAACCCATAAAATTATTAAAATTCCCTGAAACACC